TCAAACAGTTTATACCTCAAGCTTAGTTTTTGAAAATGCAGTTCAAAAGATTTCTTCTTATTTTTTTATCCGTGCCTATTCTTCTTAATCCTGCTTTCCCATAACCTCTCACAACTCTGTAATACTTATTAATCTGATATTTTGCTGGCAGCTAGGGGACAAAAGCATTCTTTCTTCTTACAAATTAATCCTCCAATTATTTACTCCCCAAGAAATGGGTATTCTGGCAAGAAATCCAACTCAGTCGGATGATATTGAAAAGTGGGATATGAGATGAATGCCCCTAATTTTCAAGGACTGACTGCTGCCCTCAAAACCTACCTTGGAAATCCATCTTTATCCACATCTGGAACAGGAAGATTAGGAACCAGACCTGCCTTTGCAAACTTGGAAGTATAATTGTGGCAAAGTAAATGACGGGATTCATATTGTTAGAAAAAGTGCTTCTTAAAAGATAAGTAGATTATCTCACTTCAGACGCATTATGTGAAGACCTAGCTTTCTAGAGAAAGCCCTAATTCTGGGAAAGGTGGAACGAAAGAGAACAGAAGGGCAATCAGTATCAAGGTAGATGGACTCAGTTACAGTGGCAATGAACGCATCATTGAAAGATTAGGTTGTGGATAGATCATCATGGAGAAAATCTGTGTGTTTGGTAGGAGTCAAAAACAGTTTGACAGCATATGATTGATCAATCAATCAATCAATCAATCAATCAATCAATCAATCAATCTGCATTTGATTTAATATTATTCCTTCTAAATGGTTCTATGCTTTGGAATACAAGCTTGCCAGACGGAACAGTGATTTGTTCTGACCTCCTAAGCAAAAGACGCTATTGCCAAGCTCACCCACAGATTCTATTTAGAATGCTTTTTTTCTGACACGGATCCTTTCTCTCTTTGAACTCTGCCTGATCAGCATTTCTATTCACTGTCTTTTTTGCCTTTAGTTTGTCCCAGATAATAATGTGTCAAAATCAGCCTAGAAATGATCTTCCCCTGGGAAAGATGCTTCTAATTTTCAGAATGGTTCTTTTAGTGGCGGTTTTCAATTTATTTATTTTATTTCAGGTGGCCTGCAGGTGGGCAGAGACTGCTGCTATTATGATTGTTATTTGCTATACCCTTTTTAATTTTAATTTTAGTCACTATTATATTTCTATTTATAGCCTGTCTTTTTTCCCCCCAAGAGCTAAAGGAGTCATCTACTCTCCCTTTTCCACTTCCCCACCCCCCACAAAAACAATCATATGCAGTAGGAAGACTAAGGAACAGCATCTAAAGTTATCCATGGGTTTCTGTAACAAAAGCTGGGTTTCCCTATTTAGTTCTATTACTGCATCTCATTTTGCTACCTGTCCAATTTTCTATGCATTCTGATCTGTGAAAACAAAATCCACCATCAAACAACCATAAGAGATGTTACTCAAAATGTCTTGCCTTGCGACTGTATTATAAAAAAGGAAATCATTGAGGCTGCAAAATTTAGGAAAAATTTTGTACAAGAGAAACTTTTAGATACCTTTAGTACATCATAATTTAAATAAGGTCCAGAATGCATAGTTTGTTGGGAATTGTATCATATTTTTTCTTCTATCAAATTTATTCTTTAAAAAATATAAAATGGAAGTGGTCAAAGAAGATGACAAACTAGAATAGTTTGAAAAGTTTGTAGTCTTCTCCACCCTATCTCATCCTTTACATATAGAAGATATGGCTGCTGTGGATTTGTGTCAAGGGGAATCAAGGGCCCCATAAAGTCCACACTGATCATGTTGAATATCTTGAATGACCCAGAAACCTCTTGCCTCGTGCAAGATTCCTCCCTAGTTGTGAGTAACACCTCTAAGCACATGTATCTTTATGAAAATAGACAACCAAACAAATTAATTCAATTCAAAAAATAAAAACCTATATATTTATGCCCATATGAGATACAGAATTGTTCTATTCCTATATCAAGCTCTGTAATCAGATTCTTATAAAAGTTCTGTCTAGGAAGGAACCTGCTCTGCTTCTAAGTTACTGAATTTTACAGTATCTTACTACTGCGCCATGGTGGTTAGTGGTTAGAATGCAATATTGCAGGGTTAACTCACTGCTCATTCCAGGAGTTCGATTCTGAACAGCTCAAGGTTGACTCAGCCTTTCATCCTTCCAAGGTCAGTAAAATGAGGACCCAGATTGTTGGGGGCAATATGCTGACTCTGCAAACCACTTAGAGCAGTAAAACTATGAAGTGGTATATAAGTCTAAGTACTATTGCTATATGTATAGTGGATATAGAATATTACTTTCTTGGCTACATATATTGGCAAACTACTTATTTTATTCATTGTGAGATTTCTCTTTTCTTCTTTGAAGATGACAGTGAGGACTAAATATGGCCAACAAGTGAGTAGCTCAAACATCTTGTTTCAGGTGCAGTTGTAACTCAAAGATTAATCTGTTTGATGGGGTAGTTGGATTGCCCATCTTTTCTGAAGAGAACCATTAAAAAGAAAGCTTTTTTGTTTGTTGCCCAATTTCGCTCTTGACCTCTCGGTGCAGCATACTCAGATGTATCTCCTAATTATATATACACAACAACCTCTGAGCCATATTGGATTAAGAGGCAATTACTGCCCCAAAATTACCTATCATCAGCTGAGTTCTTGAATCTGGTTTCCCTGATACAAATCCAACATTTTTATCACTGTATCACATTGGCTCTCAAACTCAGATAAGGAGCATACCTTTTCAACACCAACATTTCCAGATTTAATGAGGTTTCTACTTGACTTCAAGGGTTCCTCATCGTATAGTTCTCTATTTTTATTCAAGAGGGCATAAACCATCTCTTTTCAAGAATTGCCATTCAGCTTTGTAAGCATAATAATCACAGAATGGAACCAGTCATATTCAGTCTCATGCTCTCATTCAGGTTTAATTCCAGGATGCAACTAGAATACACATTATACACTTGTTTTGCTCCATATTATTAGCTGCATTAATGCAGCTTTATTGATGAGTTCATACCACAAACTAAATCTTAAATCTGGTTTAATAAATGACATCCCCTGTGTTCACATGACATGGTATAATATATGCCCTTGCTCATATAACCTGGTAAGATTATGGCTTGTTTTAACAACAACAAACTATCAAATTCCATTTCAGCTTTGTCTATACAATCTCATCCAATATTTTGTGCCACTTGTAGTTTGAATGTAAATTACTTACCTTATTTTATGAGTTCAAAATATTAAAACCACTTTCTTAGAACTTTATAGCCCTCTCTGCCTGCATTCTTTTGGTGCTTCAAAATTTTTATTACATACAATAATATCTTAACTGTTTTTTTTAATAGACATATATTTTATAGGACTTCACAAAACTTTAAAGGACATGCTTTGTTTTGATGAAGGTTTAGAAAAAAATCACTCTTCAAAACTGATTCACAGAGTAATGTGTGAGTATGACTTTTTCAGTAACCACAAGAAGCTTTTGTGTCTATGCTGTATTATACTAAAGTCTTTTTGCTATTCCAGAAGAGGTTTTAGAAATAAAACAGACAAACATGATCACTTTTCTTTGCTTTTGGAAGTGGAATATTTTATAAAACAATTTCTAATACAACAAAGCTCCCTTCCAAAGCTTTGCACTTGACTCATTTTGTCAACTGAAATGGCCAAAAAGTGATCAACTCAATCATCTTGTTTCAGGTGCAGTGGGAACTCAAAGATTAATCTGTTGGAGGGGATAGTTGGTTACTCCTATTTTAATAGTTATAACTCAAAACTATGAAACTTGTGTATATTGTAATTTGATCATTGATACAACGATCCATCAGTGCTCATATCTCAACTCTTTAAAAATTCTAAATCTATAACTAATTGTAAAATACTTCTGGCTGCATCAAAAACACCATATGATATGATCTCCTATGCATTCTGGAAACTTGAGGTACATGCAGAGTTTTGTTGGCATCTTATAAAGAAATGGTTTCTGGTGCATGCATTTCATTGAAAAAAATCTAGTATTATTAATCCAGAACAACTGGCATAGCTTTCTTGTCTATGCATTATGAATGGTTTCTTTGATATTCATAATATTTTTTCCAACAAGCTTTTCATAGTCAAGAAACTCAACAAGTAATGATTTTAAACCTTGCTGAACAATATCTTCAAGAGAGACTTGTTTGAGATAAAAATTGAATGAATGAATGAATTGGTTCAGAATCATGTTGATACTGAGAGCTATGGCTATTGTATTTTTTATTTTATTTTAATATGTTAATATGACATAAATATATTACTTATATTTGTAGCATCTAGTTTAAATACATATTCTGTTTCTTAAATGCCCTAAATTTGAACAATCTGATCCAAAGAGGCTTTTAAAACAAAATAAGATTAACTAAGTGGACCATGTGTGCAACTTGGATCATGAACTTCTCCCTCTGGCTGGGGGGATAATCCATGCATTCATAATGTTCAGTTATTACATATATTAAGCCTGGATTTTTCAGTGGAATTTGCCATTTCTCCCCCTTTATTACTGCAGTCCACTATATAATGACATTGTACCAAATTTTTGAATAATGATTGCTTCAATAACATTCTTTCTTGGCATGTCGGATATTTATGACCCTGTGCAAAACTCTGTGTGTGTGTGTGTGTGTGTGTGTGTGCTTTGCTTCAACAAAAGCTCTAGTGAAGTGCTTTTCTCAAAGCTGTTTCATCTAAATATGAAATGAAAAAGTCATCTAGCCTTGCTTCGTTCTTCTCCACTGCCTCGCTTCAGCCTTCTACAATATAGCTGGTGGGGGCTTCCATATTTCTATCAAGTTGTACACACTTAATATTTCACCATAATGACAAAGTATTTTTCATCATAATTAAGTTATTTGAGGAAATGTCTAAACATAAAATATAGTAACACAATCTCTGAGCTTGCATATTTTACCCTAAAATATAGAAATTAGAAGCAGAAAAAAGGAGGGAGGGAGGATAGTACCTTGTTGAATAATATCAGATATAACAGCAAGATAATCTTCCGGGCCTTGATCCGTGGTCATCAATTGGTTGCATTTATCTATGTTCAGTGTCTGATAGATAAGGGTTGAATCTTCTACCCCACAAAGCAAAATGGCCACCCTTTCAGGAGGCTGAAGAATCTTGTTCAGAAAATATCTTTTTTTCAGATTCAGGCCCTTTAAAAGACCATTTGATATTATCAACAGTTTGCATCTGTAAGAGCAAAGAAATGGCACTTCTGAATGGTAAATCGATGCAGCTTCTAAGTCGTAAAGTAAGATCCTGTCTTCTAGTATAATGTGCTTGAAAATTGATTTTAAATACAGAGCCCATTCCTCTGCAGCTTCTTCATAGATAACAAGAATGCCCTGTGTATTTTCTGAGGGAATGGAGAAAAGAAAACATTTCAGAACAATTGTCACATTGCATTACTGTATATTAATAATATCAAAAGCTAATATTCAAAAGAGGCTCAATCTAGGTTCCTGTGTGTTGTTTTAAGGAAGAATTTAATATAAAAAACAGATGTATATAAACACAATTAAGAGGTTGGCAAACTTTCCCAGCTCCTATTAAGCGTACAAAAAAGACTGAAATTTCGTGTTTTACCATTGCACTGTTAAAACTTAAGGGGATGTCACAAGATTTCCGCATTATTATCTGGAAGTTTGCAACTTATAACTGGAAGACCTCCGAAGACCTCCGAAGTCCTTTCCAACTCTGTTATTCTATATTCTGTTAACTTTTGCTCAGAATCTCATGAACTTTTTGCAGTTTAGGGGTTCAGTGCTCTGGTACAATCTTTGGTGCTTCTGGACAATATTTCTTGGTCCCAGTGTTATGGTCTGACTGGCAGATATCTAGAGCACGATGGCTCTTCTATTCCGCCAATTCATGTCATCTTTTGCCATGAACAGATTATTGTTTTTCAAAAATAAGGTGAGCTGCAGATTAGGCTACTGTCTAAATGTATAACTTGATACCCAAACTTTGTCTATCCCTAATGAACAGTTTGCCCACCAATGTTTTGCATAAATAAATAAATAAATAAATAAATGTAGATCAGTGAACTAGCAATATAATGTGGCTTTGCATGACCACTTCATTACGCACTGAAAATGTTTGCCATAAATAAAAACCACTAGAATAGAAGCAGCTTCAGGTAAGCATGGATAAAACTTAGCAGAGATCTGTAGAACATCCTCATCCCTGACAAATTGGAGGTTTATTTTGATCAAAACTCTTGCTCTTTTGACAATAGACCTTTTCATTGAAAAGAGGATTCTAAATTTCTTTGGACACCAAAGGCAAAATTCAGTGATATATATACAAATATTTATAATAATCGTATTAATTAAATTCTAAAGCAAAATAAGTAAAATAGACGCTGTCTCAACAAAGCTAGAGAACCTTTAGATTTATAACTCTGGTGTGACACTGATTTGGGGGCAGGGATGGGGACCCTGACCCATATCTAGTGAAATCTTTGGCCCAAATGTTAAACATTGTTGGATTAGATTTACTCATAGGGTAGCTGGAGATGATGAGGGGGCTGAAAACTTCCCATCACACTATTGCTGCAATGATGATTTCAGGGGTTTCCCACACAAATCTCTATTTTGGGGAAATCCAAACTGTGATTGATTAATTTTGTTGGCAAAATAAAGGAAATTTATCCTTTCATCCTCTGTCATTAATGCCAGATCAGCCAGCCAAGCAAACATTTCTGAGACTCATAATTCCATTTTAACTGCAGAATGCTATGATGGATAAGGCCTTTTGAGATAACAGATGCACAATAAGCCACCCAGAGTTGTCTGAAAGATGGGCAGTTATATAAATGTTTTAAATATATACATATGTATATACGTAGAAACATACATACATAATAAATATTTGCTACTGTCAAATAGTTCCTGGAGAACAAGGGAGAAACTTTTCCTTTTTTCATTCTAAAATTTCTTATTTTGTGAAAGGAAACCAACAGAAAAACTTTTCAGTTTTGCTTTTAGCAATTTTAATAATACCCTAGGATATCTGAATAAACTATTCCACATGTGCTCTGACCCAAAGAACTTATTCTTATCCTTTAAGAAATTGGCTTTTGTTAATCCTGGGAAAAATAGTTCTCTCATTCAACTGCTTTATGTAGAGGGTTTGATAGAGATGGTAATGACGGTAACTAATTTTCCAAATAGCTGGTTGAATTTCAATTAATTCCCATGAAAACCCAAAACTGAGCTATAAGCTGACTGGTTTTAGATGTGCATGCAGCTTCCAAAGTAAATTTATTCTCCTTAAGCCTACATGGATTTTTTGATGCAGGTATTAGAAGCATAAAATATGAGATTAATGCAAATGAAACTTCTGAAACTTCATGAGATATTCATAAAAGATACATTTTCCTTGTGAGCTTTCCCACCTTATAATAATAATAATAGTAATAATAGTAATAATAATAATAGTAATAATAGTAATGATAGTAATAATAGTAATAATAATAATAATAATAACAACAACAACAACAACAACAACAACAACAATAATAATAATAATAATAATAATAATAATAATAATAAAGTTGGAAGGGACCTTGGAGGTCATCTAGACCAACCCCCTGCTCAGGCAGGAAACCCTTTACCATTTCTATAAGACAACTACCTCCTTAACGTGCTGACTATTGGGATGGATATTGCCCCATATATTATATAAGACTTTACAAGCTGACATGTGAGCAGTTGCCCTATAATCCAACATTCATGTATAAGCAAAAATGTATTGATAAATGTTTTAACTGAGTTTGATATAATTAGAAACTTACTAGCTTAAATATGATATAAATGTTAAGGGAAATGGAAAAGGAATTTTTGATGATGTAACCTGAGATATGTGCTAAAGATGTTGTTATTGAATAATTGACTAACCCAATCACCACATTGCTTTCCAAATACTTAATTGTAAATGGAAAACTAATAAAAATTTTGTTATAAGAAACCAGATGAATAGTTTACCAGACATAGCTGTTGTTGAAGTATACCATTAACTATCCTGATGACATATGTTTCTTAAACTCACAGCATTCAATTCAAAACCATTCTTTGACATAAAAAATGAAACAAATATTTTTTTGTCAATTACTGTTTTTCATTTTCCTGAAATAAATCAACCAAGGCAAAATTATACTTCCAATTTCTGGAATAGATTACAGATTACAAAATAAGAATTGGAAGGCACCTTGGAGGTCATCTAGTCCAAATGCGTGCTCAAACAGAAGATCCTATACAATTCCAAACAAATGGCTGTCTAATCTCTTCTTAAAAACATCAGTGATGGAACACCACAATATCTGGAATAAAGCCATTCCATTAACTGTTGTCAGTGATCAGAAATTTCTCCTTAATTCTAAGGTGGGTCTCTCTTTGATAAATTTCCATCTGTTACTTCATGTCCTGCCTTCAGTTACTTTGGAAAATAGAATACCTGAGGAACAGTATCTTATTTCAGGTCTTTTGGTCACTTTCAGAATGTGTGCCTATCTAAGAACCACACAAGGATTTATGATTCTGGCACCTCTCATTTTATGTTCTTTTCTAGCATTAAGTTCCACTAATACTATCTTAGTAGATGTCAGGGACATCAGCATTAGGACAGAAAAGTCGGGATAAACAATTGGGTTGCTTTCTGTCAAATTGGCAAGCTGGGCCTTCCTGGAATTCATCCTATTTCATTGGCCTGTCCCCAAATTTCTTTTATTGGAGATTTTCTGCATTTGAGTCATTAATATTCTAATCCAAATTAGATTGTGCAGTTGATGGATCCATTGTCACAATTGCTCATGATATTCTACAGAAGCAGAAGCAGCCTTCTTCCCTTGGTGATAAATTGGTGTAAATGTTGTGCATTGTGATGGTTTGATTTGTGAACATGGAGGGTGTGAGATTGAGAGTGTCTTGAATAAGATTCTCCTGGGGGCTTTTGCCTGGTTTTTTTCCCCTCTAGCCATTTCAGTCTGTTCACTCTGCTCTAATTTCAGTTGGTGGAAGTTTTCTACCTCTACTATTTGCTTTCTACCCCTACTTCATTCCACCATTGTTGTTTTCATGCTGTTGTTTTCATGGACTGATTCAGAAATGGACAGCAAAATCCTAAGACTAGGCTAGTTGGTATCACTCTGAACAAAGTGTGCTGTTAGATATTTTTATCAGTATTTTTTTAAAAAAAAATCATCAGGGAAGTGTGATTCTGTCACGTACACAGAGAGAGTTCATAATTCATTCAGTCATTCACTAGCACATGTGACATGCCAATACTTTTCTTTTCAAAGTGATTATACTTTCACTTTATTAAATCAAGTCATTGAGTTTCCTTTAGCCATTTAGCAGGAAATAGAGGAATTTTGGGTTTTTTTTGTTTTTGTTTTTTTGCTATGAAAGACATAGTGTAGGATCACTTAATTCATATAAACTTTATTTCTTCCTGATTAGACAAGCTTAAGAATGAAAGCTCTTAACTACAATGAGAGAACCAGTTACTGTAGATGCTACAACTAGAGCTATTTGAAAGAAAAATTCTCAATTATTTGAAGTTAAATACTGGTGTTCATTTATTTATAACCATCCATTTAGTGACTGTTCAGAGTTACAGCAGCACTGACTTGTGACTTTTAACTAGTTTTCACACTTAGAACTATGGTCACCTAATCAAAATTTGGATACTTGGCAACTGGCATGCATTTATGGCTGCATTGTCCTGGAGTCATATATCACCTTTTGCAACCTTTTGACAAGCAGAGTCAATGGGGAAGCCAGATTCACTTAACAACCATGTTATTAACTTAAAATATGCAATGATTCATTTAACCACTATGGCAAGAAAGATTGTAAAATGTGGCAAAACGCAGTTAGCAACTGTCTTGCTTAGCAACAGAAATTTTGGGATCAATTGTGGTTGTAAATTGAGGCCTGCCTGTGCTAATATCACTTGACTAAGAATTAATCTTGGATTCTTGTTGCAGCTATCTTGGGATAATTTGTACTCATTTGTTAGATCTACGTTACAGATCCCTCTAAATTAGACAATAATATGCAGACAAACTATGCATGTGTTACTGTTTATTTTTGGTAGAGATAAAATAAAAAGACAAATGAAATGTAATCTACCTGTGATGTGCATACCATCGAGAATAAGATCCTGTTAACTGCACCAGGTGTATTGATCATCAACAAAATGACAAGACACCATTTTATGTAACGATCTATACCGGTAGCTTGACAGCTCAGGTTTATTTCTACAAGAAGCATAATAGACCTCTCTTCCAGACACAATTGTCACATACTCTGGCAGTTGTAAATTGGAAAGAAGTCAGCCCAAAGACATGTTTTTAGGTTTTTAAAAAGGTAGCATAAAATGCATCTTGGTTTTACCTGTAATAGTGTAATTTTAGTGGTATAGGTTTGGGTAATACTGCTTATCATATATGCACCGGTATGTGTTTCATACATGTAATTAATACTAACTGTAGCATATAGCTCAGTTTAATTTGATGGGCTGCATTCTACCTTGACTACTCAGATCTCAATAATAAATGATTTCTCTCTCTTAGCCCAACACACCTCACAGGTTGTTGTTATGGAGAAATAGGAAGAGGAAGGTATGCTCTATATGTTTGCTGCCTTGGGTTATTTGTAAAAATAATAAAGTTGGGATGTAAATAAATGAATAAATAAATCAATAAATTTCTTTTTTCTCTTAAGAGAAATAGCCCTAAGAAATTATTTTGTTAAAATTATTCCAAGTCATTTAAAAACAATAATAACCACAAATAATAATAATAATAATAATAATAATAATAATAATAATAATAATAATAATAATAATAATAATAATAATAATAATAATAATAATAATAATAATAATGTTGGAAGGGACCTTGGAGGTCATCAAGTCCAACCCCCTGCTCAGGCAGGTAACCCTATACCATTTTGGACAAATGGCTGTCCAGTTTCTTCTTAAAAACTTCCAGTGTTGGAGCATTCACCGCTTCTGGAGGCAGGTTGTTCCATTGGTTAATTGTTCTAACTGTCAGGAAGTTTCTCCTTAGTTCTAGGTTTCTTCTATCTTTGGTTAGTTTCCATCCATTGCTTCTTGTCCTGCCTTCAGGCGTTTTGGAAAATAGCTTGACTCCTTCTTCTCTGTGGCGGCCCCTGAGATATTGGAACACTGCTATCATGTCCCCCCTCGTCCTTCTCTTCATTAAACTAGACATACCCAATTCCAGCAACCGTTCCTTATATGTTTTAGCCTCCAGTCCCCTAATCATCTTTGTTGCTCTTCTCTGTACTCTTTCTAGAGTCTCAACATCTTTTTTACATCGTGGTGACCAAAACTGGATGCAGTAT